TGCATTATGCATTGATCCTGAAAAATTAAATATTTCCCGTTACTAATGGAATGTGGATGAAAAAGAAATAGAATGTTTTCTAATCCAAGGAGAAGCAGCACATACTGTGGAAAATGTGAAGAATTTAGATTCAGGGGAACTGGGTCCAAATCCCATCTCTGTTTATTAAAGATGTTGGCTTGAGGGAATCACTAAACCCTTCTAGGCATCATTTGCCTTATCTGCATGCAAATGAATAGGTTGGACTAGAGCAGCATTTTCAGAAGTGAGGGCTTTGGCCTGACCGTTTGGTCCACAGAAACAAGGAAACAGTGGAAAAACGTGTTTGAAAAGAACAAAACAATTTTGAACAAATAGAGAAGTAGTTGATCACGGGGACTATGTCCAATACAACCCACCTACTCTTTTGTCCCAATAATGTATGCTATCCTATCCCTCCATGGGAAAGTTCTAATTTGTCTCCCTCACTTCCTTTCTGTGTTTCAGTCTATTTACAATCTAACTACTATATAGTTATATAGTCTAACTACTATATAGTACTATTGGGAAATCACTTCCTCCTCTCAACATGTCTCTTCCCCATGACCTGCATAACTGCACAGAGGGGCATGTTCTGTGTTTCAGGGAAGTGACCATTGGGCAGCTACGTGGCACAGTGAACAGAGCACCTACCCTGGAATCAGGAGGACCTGACTTCAAATTTGACCTCAGACGTTTACTAATTGTGTGAACCTGGGCAAGTCACTTAACCCCAATTGCCTGAGAGGGAAAAAAAAAAGGAAATGTTCATTAAGACTTCCACTGCTTTCTTCATTTGGGATGAGATAGAATGAGTCACACAAGATAAGTTGTCCTGGATAGGTTGTAATCTATATATGTCTCAGATCTCAGTACCTTAGCTTTCCCTTCCAAACCTATCACTGTTCCAAATTTCCCTATTTCTGTCGAGGGAACCATCTTTCCAGTAACCCAGGGTCATAATATGTCTGTTACCCTCCCTTACCCCACTTAGTCAATAATTGGCAAATTTTGTTGTTTCTATCTCTGACACATCTCTTGCATACATTCCCCTTCTATTTACTCAGCCTCCACCCTAGCTCAGGTTCTCATCTTCATTTGCCTAGAGGACTGTAATAACCTCTTCACTGGTTTTCTTCCCTCATATCTCTAACCTTCTCTAATTTGATTGACACACAGCTACAAATGTAATTTTCCTAAATTGCAGGTCTAACCATTTCACTTCACTACTCAAAACCTCTGGTGGCTCCACATTGACTTTATGAGAGAGTATTATTTCATCATTATCTCATTTTTTGGATTTATATTGGTAATTTAAATTTTATAATGTACATAATTATTAGTACAATAGTGTGTGTGTGTATATATATATACATATATATATGGATTTGTAAATAATACACACATTTAGGAAGTAGTTTATTTTTTTCTTTACTGATAGGGGCATGTGATCCCCAAAATCTGGAGACTATTGAACCTCTGAGGTCTATTGCCCTATATTAATCATCCTATGAGTCATCCATGAGATATTCTTTTCTACTAAGTTATATATGGGTTGACCTGAGAAACATGATTTAACACTCACCTCTTTTGCCTAACATTATCAAATCAGAGCACTGGAGATTTTTTAAACTCTTTTAGCTAGTCTATTTGGTTTCTCTTTGATATATACAAATACTTGCATACAGAGGTTCACTCCAAAGTAACTTGGCCCAAAACTTGATATAACAAAGGTAAGAAAAAGTCACTATGGTCTAGGGCATTGGTGCATTAATTTTTTTTTACCCATACCATAATGAATTAGAAATATTAGTGTTAAAATTTATCATTAATCAAGAATTGGAATAAAGCCAGGATCTAGCTTTGAAATGTTATGCTTCAATATTTTTATGGCATTTTTTCTTATATCCTCCCTCTTTAAGGAATAAAGGAAGAAAAAAAAATCTTGGTTCCTCTGGCTCTTCACATCTTTTGACAATTGCCCCGTAACCTCAAGATCATCCCTCTAGATTATGTCATGTTTATACTGACCATAGAGCAGACAAAATACCAGTGGAGCTGGAAGTGAAATATTTGTAAGATTAATGAGTAGGATACCCAAGAGGTCATGATGTAAAGTCACAGTGTTTATTGTCTAAGAGTTTTTTTCTTTTCTATTTTTCACTTCCTTGTCTTTCATGTAGATGTACAGTTACTCTTTTAACCAGTCACTGTTAACTCCCACCAGGATCAAAGCAAGCAAGAAAGCCAAGCTCTCTGCCATCCTGGCCTCACTTATAAGGGCTGACAACCCGGCCAGTGGCTTAACAACATGGTGCTGCTGTTCAGAGTAGCCTTGGCTCACCAAGAGCTGTGGTTCCTAATGAGTTTATACTCCTGATGCTGAATGAGAACTTTTGCTGGTCCCCAAAAGCAAATCCACTATTAAGGAGTGCTGACATTAAAGGAAGATCTCCTTGCCCCACAGGTGACTTCTGTTTCTAGTAGGGAGACTTTGTTGAAAGAAGCTGCATATGAGATACTTTTCTTTCATGCACTGACTTACAACTTTCTGTGTGGTTTGGGCCCCAGTTAGTTAAGGGATCACCTATTTTTTTTGAAACTGTGGGGAAGAAATCTGCCAAATTGCCTTGATGCATAACAAACATTTCCAATAACTATCATCTTACCCTGGCAGTCTCTTAATGTATGTACTTTTCAAAGTAGAACATTTATAATGCCATCACATACACCAGAAAATAATAATAACAATGACAATAATGATGATGATAATTTATAACCAATGTTTACACAGCATTTAAAGTTTGCAAGGTGCATATATATATAATATGTGTGTATATATATGTATATATATATATATATAAAGAGAAAGAGAAAAAGAGAGAGAGAGAGAGAGAGAGAGTCTTTACAACTCTGAGACATAGGTACTATTCTTTCTCCTATTTTACAGCTGAAGAAACTGAGTCTGGGAGAAATTAAAGTAGCTCAGGGATCAAGCAGAATCATATAGCTAGTGAGTGTTTGAGGCAGGTTTTGAATCTAGCTCTTCTGAACTTGAAGATGGGCACTCTATGCACTATACCACCAACCTGCCTTATATAGCACTAGAAGGCAGAATCTCATCTTTTTGTATTCTCTTCAGTAGCTAATAGGTTGTAAATCTCAGCATATTTTGCAGTCAACTCTTAATGGTCACTGACTGTTGGATTTTCAGCAAGCATATATGCAAAGACTTTATACATGTGATCTGCCTGAATTTAATCATTCCAAATGGGGGAAATAGATCAAGGCTTATAGCCTTATAGAATTTTCAGGATGCAGAGAATGTTTGAAAGACTGTTTGCCAATTATTTTAAGATCAGCAAAATCACTAAAGTGTTTTGACAACACATTTCTCCTTTGATGTTTAAAGTTGAGTGAACTCAAAGGTAATATTTTATCTTATGTTTCTTATTATTCACACTTGGCTCATTGATATTTTCAGAAACATTTGGTTAGACATTCAGTCCAAGAAATTTCTCATCTATCAAGCTCTTTCCCTATAAAAAGGAAGTTGTATTTTTGCCAAAAGTAAAAGACTATCAAGTTTTCAAGTTTGGTTTGAACCCCCAACCCAGGAGGTTCAAATCAATTCTACTTTTGGCAAAATGTATTCTTTCCCCTTCTTGTAACCTCCCCAAATAGAGCTGATACTATCCTGCTAGAGTAACAAAAAGGGGAAAGGCATTAGTCCAACAATAACACAGAGCCCAGCACAATCCTATGCACCAAGTAGGTGCTTAAAATGTGCAGAATTGAATTGAGTTCACTTCACAATTGTGATATAAATTGACTATTGGGGTATTGGATTTTTCTTATAGGCACAGAGATTAGGCTCATAGGAAGAATAGAAGTAACATTGTACAGTAGCAGCAGTACTATATTTGACATCAAAGGACTTGGGTCAAATCCTAGGTCTGCTATGAATTTTTTCCAAGTCATTTAATCTCTCATCATCTTAGTTCCTGCACCTATAAAATGAAGAAGTTAGACTTGAAGTCCTCCAAGGTCCCCTGCTAGCTCTACATATATCATCTTATATACAAATTTGAAGTAGGACAGGCAGCATGTGGAATGCTCAGTATAGCAAACCTATAAAGTACAGATTTAGAACAGAAGGGACCTTCTGAGTAATCAAATTATGAGCACAGTGCACAGTTTGTAGCATGCTGGGCTTGGAACCAGGATTGGAGTTCAAATCCAACCTTTGATACTTGCCAATTGGGTGATCCTGGGTAAGTCACTTAATCTCTGTCTGCTTCAATTTCATCATCTTGTAAAATGGGCATAATAGTAGCACCCACTTACAGGGTTGCTAAAAGGGTCAAATAAGATAATATTTTAAGCATTATAACTATAATAGTTTAACTCCCCATTCTAACCAATTGGGAAATATAAGCCAAGAAAGTTCAAATGGTTTATCAAAGGTCACACAAGTACTAAATAATGAAACAGATACTTGAACCCTGGTCCTCTCACTTTAGATCCCACACTTTTCCTACTGCATTAAATGCTTTAATTGCTATGAAGTCATTCCTCTGGATTGCCTTATAAATCAGAAGATTATAGTAAGACATCTTCTATCTAAAGTTTGCAACAAATTAACCATGGCTATATGTATCTGACCGTTGATATTAGCAAGACCTATTAAGGCTTCATAAGGCAACTTCATTCCCCACTAATAATCCAGACTAAAACAACAAAAATAGGGTCATTATTATCATTTCTGCCCAGAATTTTGGAATATAACTTTTTAAGCTATTCAATATGTTTCAAACATTAAACAAATATTCTCTGGTGACTTTCACCTCACTTTTGTAAAGACATGTATCATAATCATGACTACACTTCGGTTTCCTTTCTGTTGTAAATATGCTCATATAGTTACTGGGAATCTTGCTTTAAATCACTCCATGCATATAACTGGTAAGATTTGGACTTACCAAACCTTTACATGTTGAAAGCGCTACTGATGAGTTCTGGTGGGATCGTAAGGAGCCTTGATAAAAGCAGAATTCCTCTGGTGGGAAAGTATGTACTGATTTAGTGCCTTTCTTTCCTAACGTTTGTACCATAAATCCAGGAGCTATTAGGCTGTCAGAAGTTTTAAGATCCATGTGAAAGTCATGTCCAAATCCATGCAGCCGAAGGTGAAGAGAATCAGTTCCTAGATGAGAAGGTGACCTCTTTCTCCTTTGATGGTGCATAATTTCATGTGTCATATATTCTCCATTTGGATGTATTTCATAAGCTGATACAATTTCATATTCTGTAGGCCAAATAACAGAAAACAACAGAGTTCAATCAAGCAAAAGAAATAGTGATGTTGTAGATGAGTATTTAAATTTTTTATGACTAAATGAGGTATACTTAAAAAAGAGCATGTGTAGGATATCTTAATCTGAACTACACAGTAAACAAATAATTTATGAATTGGACCTGTGTGGAACTCCTGATGGGGAAATTTCCCCTACCATTGCTGATTAAAAACTATTATGCAATTTATAGACTTAGAGAACTGACTGAACACTAAGATTAAGATAATTTTCCTATGGTCATTCCACACTTCCACACAATGAATATGAACTTCTTGATATCAGGACCAGTTCAGGAACCTACAGGTCAGCTAGGTGGTGCAGTAGACAATGTACTAGGGCTGCTGGAGTCAGGAAGACCTGAGCTCAGATCCATCCTCAGACATTTATTAGCTGTGTGACTGTGGGCAAGTCACATAACCCAGTTTACCTCAGTTTCCTCATCTGTATAATGAGCTGGAGCAGGAAATGGCAAACCATTTCAGTATCTTTGCCAAGAAAACCCCAAGTGGGGTCACAAAGAGTCAGACATGACTGAAAAACAAGTGAACAACAAAATCTCTAACCTATATATCATGCTATTTCTTTAAACAAAATAGAATATGTATATATATAACATATATACACGTATCTAAATTTCATGTGTATATAATATGCACACACATATACATGTACTGATATATTATATTTTATAAATACATAGCAAATATTGGTATATGTGTATATTTAATAGATAGATATACAAAAGTATTAAAATGTCCCTCAAAATTATCTGTATGATCTATAGTAATGTTCTGTGACCAAAGGTAGTAAAGGACTCTGGTCTTATTTGAAAAGAAGGAAAAATAGTGAAGCTTCATGAAAATAGAAATGTCCTAATTTTTCTGCATTGTAAATCTGGCTTCTGTTCAGTATATAACATATCTTAATTTTTATGAAACATTGGTTTCCTCTTATTCATTTATTAGTCTATTTTATATTTGAATGTTCATTGTATTTAAGAAAGTTGGTTTTTAAATCAAGAGTTATCCCATCCTGAAAATAACACCATTTAACACATAATTTTTGCATTTACTTTTTTTTTTTACAATTTATGACATCCTTGTTTGATATATCAGTTCCTATTCAAAACAATTTGTTAGCCTCCTATTGAAAATGTTTCCTTTGCCTCTCTGATCAAATTGCACAGCATGCTTCACTGAGTCTTTCAATGTCCTTCTTCATATTACTTACAATTTTTTTAGCCTATCATGTATCTAGATAAATCACTTAGAAAACCTTTAAGATGACATTTGAATTTTCTGCCATCTGCACCAAGATCTAAGGCTGAAATCACAAGGGATCTTACAAGAGCTCAGATCCAATAACATTTTAAAGACTATTTTTGGTTATTAATGAGAATAGCAAGTGGGAGGAGGGTGGACTGGATTGTCTTCAGGAAATTGCTATGCTCTTTTAATGACCACAAACTTCTCCCCAAAATGAAGGTCCATCTTTTAAATACCAACATTCTACCTGTGGTGTTATATGACTGCAAGACATGGAACAGAACATCCCTAAAGAAATGAAAATGGATTCACACAAAGAGCTCATGATGAGTATGAGGAGGCTGAAACGTGTATCCAATAAGGAGATGAATGAATGAAAAATAAAGAATGGGAGGATGCGATATTATCAGGGAAATATTATGATAGAAAAAAGACCATAGGCTGGCTATGAGGTGAAGGCAAGGAAAAATAGATTGAAAACCCACCCAGAATGCTCCATTGGTCTTTCTGTGATATGAGAACATAAGGAAAGTCTTTGCCAAAATTGCAGTCACCCAATGGAAAACTTTGTGGAGGACAGAGTGGAATGAACAGAGTTGCATAGGATGTGTTGGCATAAGTAGGTTGCAATCTGCATCATGGCAAGGGATGTTTAAATAGATGAAATAACAGATCCATTTGATTTCTTATACAAGGATATTAAAGAACAGCAACTAGAAACTATAGCTTTGTATGTGTGTATATTTGAAAGAGGTAGGGGTGGGTACTTAAAACATTTTGAATCTAAAGATTTTGTATAACAAGCAGAGGTTATGGTATTTTGCTGAAGCTATAGATAGTCTGATGGAAATGGCTGAAAATCACCTGACCGCAGCCCTAGAGCTTGCTAACTTGAAAAAGTGCCACATTATTAGTTTGCCTTTAGTTCTTCTATGTCTCTGACAATATGCATAGAAAGGAACCTGCTACCATAGCTGTGTAAATTATTTTGCAAATCAAAGGCTAAAGGACCTTTTTCTAACACCCTAGGGGAAAAAAAAAACACAATATACTTCATTGTAACTGTCAGTGTACTCTGACTTGTAAACATCATTTAAAACATGATCATATTTTTCTGGTCATCAGTTATTGGGCATTATCAAATGAGAATGCTCCATTTAATTTCTAAATCAATGATCCTAAATTTTTGCACTATTAACACAATAGACCCTCCTCCCACCCAGTGCCAGGTTGTATGTTCTCTGTCTCCCTGATACAGCCTCTTCCTGGGTTCTGATGAAATACTCCTGTATATTTTAACAATTTGTCCTAAGGTATTTTAGAGGGATTAATACAAAGCCCACAAATAATAATTCCTTCTCCTCATCCTCCTTCATCATCTTCATCATCATCATCATGCATTTATGGTATGACACCAGACTACGATTTGCTCCAAGCCCTTTTAAATGTCTGACTTTGAATAGAATTCCAGCAAAAAGAAACAGATGAAAGCTGTATCATTAATATTATAGTGAGATTGACAACCTGACAATCATGAGTCAGTTTTTTCTTTAATTATTTTCTGAATTAACATTTCATATTTTAATTGAATCCAAATCCCTGAGTCAATGAAGTAATACTGGAGGGTCGGAAGGTATTTTAAATAATCTAACATCATGGAATAAGAAAGTTTTGTTATTCTCAGGTCAGCCTAAAGATCTGAAATGACCTTTCACTTAAAAGTGCAAAAAAAGGGAGAACTAATTAGAAAAATTGTTTTTGTCCATCTACACATCTGCTTTCACTCAGAGCAATAGGGAAATGTATGACATCTCCAAATGCTGTAGATCATAGAATATTTAAAATCTAAATCTTTATTTATTATCTAAAGCATTAATATGTGCAAGATCAGAAAATCTGACCTCACTTTGCCTAAAATGGGGAACTTGATTCACTGGCGCCCAGTTGTAGACTGTTTTTGCATCCTTGTAAAGTTGTTCAGGGGTTGGATTGTGTTGAGAGAAGAACCCTTTGTTAACCTAACAGATTTTTCCTATAGTCGATCTCTTTGCTTTGAAACACATTCATGCACACACCTACATGCATTCACATACACAGACACACAAAAAACAATAATTGACTCTCTTATATAGTTTCAGCCTGAAATAATCAGCCTTGGTTAAAATGCCCATGGTTAAGGCAATTTCTTAATTCCTGGCTCTTTTTGTTTCTTTTCAACAAGTATTAGGCCAGAGATAGAGCCACCTTCTCAACACAATTAAGGTGCTCCAGTTGAGGCATGCCCATTATACTGTGATTCAAATGTCTCAGAATTTTCAAAGAATTTGAATAGCTCTTTTCTGAGCTCAGACATCATACAGGCAAGATGAACAAATATTATGATAATAGCTCACATTTATGTATAGCTTTAAATTTTGTAAAGTGTTTTACATGTGTCATTTCATTTGATCCTCACTCCCCTTTATGAGGTAGTTGATATTATTATCTCCATTTTACAGATTAAGATATTGAGTGGTTAAGTGACTTATCTACAGTTATCCAGCCAGTAAGTGATAGGATTAGTATTCTGTGAGAAATAGCTAGTTTTCATTTCCACAAAAGTCACCCTAAACCTAAAATGCAATCTAAGGGTTAGGTGGAAGTTGGACAAAGGAAGCCATAAATTAGAATAAGAAAATACTATTGGTGGGTGAATAGACTAACTGCCAGAAAATTGGTTCTGAGGTTAGGTATAGATTAACATCAAAAGGGGTGCTCCCAAATAAAGGCAAAAGTGGATGCAGGCCTGAGTCGCCAAATTGTGGGGAGTAGAAGATGTAATTAGGGGCAGAGACACACATGAGGAAATTAGGTACTTCGGATAGGCTGTATGCTCTATAGCACTGAGTCAATGGGAAACGGGAGGGAAATTCCAATCGGGAGTAAGGAATAAAAAGTTGTATATCTGACACCTATGTGTCCACATGGGGAACACCTGGTCTGGCCATGTCATTAATAAAAGTTCTTCCTGGTTCAAACAATGGCTTCATGGAATTCACGATAACACTTTTTGCTACTAACATACTCAAACCCAGATTTTCTCTACTCTGGATCCAGTCATCTGTCCACTAAACCAGGTAGCCTTTCTGTACTTATCCATCAACGTGTTCCTGTGCTCACCTCGATTGAAAACTAGTGGTTTATACTATGGAAAGGGCAGCTAGGTGATGCCAAAGTACATAGAGTGCTGGGCCTGAAGTCAGGAGGACTCGTCTTGGGGAGTTCAAATCCAGTCTCAAACTGTAACTAGCTATGTGACCTGGGCAAGTCACTTAACCCTGTTGGCCTCAGTTCCCTCATTGTATTTTTTTTTTTATTTTCAGTTTCCTCATTGTAAAATGAGCTGAAGAAGGAAATGGCAAATCATGCTAGTATTTCTGCCAAGAAAACCCCAAATGGGGTCACAAAGAGTCAGACACAACTGAAAAACAACTGAACACACACATACTATGGAATAATGAATAGGCAAACTTTTCCTCTGTAGACAGGTTTGAAGAGAGTGGGAGAGGATGAGGCTTCACCATGGTAAAGCCACATTTTAGTGAAATTTGGAAATATGGAGATGTAAAGGAATAGAAGGTCAGAACAACGTTAGAAAAAGGCAGTTAAGCCACAACTACCAGAATAAGGGCAAAGCTAAGCAGTGA